AAGCCATTAACAGATCGAATCCCTTTCTTCTCCATGTTTGCAGCAATTAAAAACTTTAACGAATTGGTTAGCTATATACTTCGCTACAATTAATTAGCTAATTAATCAATTAAGAACTAATTAAAAAATGATTTAGGAAAAGAGCAATATATATATATATATATATAAACAACTTAATTTGATATGTTCCATAAGGGTTCGCAGTGTTTCACATTCATTGATGCGATGTGTAATAAAACCGCCTGAAATCAATACTATTAATGTTTATCAAAATTTTTAAACAAAGAAGAAAATTTAATTTTCAATTCGATAATCAAAACAAAATAAACAGAACAATAATAGTAAAGTTTTGATCAAAAATAATTTTCTAAGTTTTTTTTTCTTTTAACAATTTTATGGGTTAAACATGAATTATACAATGTAATAATCAGTGATAGGTTTTAAATGAAAATTAGTTCGTTTAAATGTTGGAAATGACAATGAAATGGAAAAATTAAATTTACAAAGGGTTGATCTTTGTGTTTTGTAATTAGATTAGTTGGAAGAATTTTTGAAACTAAAAAAATCATACTACATTTTTCCATTTCATTATTGAAAAAAATTTAAAATAAAAAAAGAACCGGAATAAAAATCGATTACTTGATTACTAAAGTACAAATATTTCTTTTTCTTTATTACTTTTTTTTTCATTGGAAAATTATTTTATTCTTTTCTCTTCAAATTTGATCGTTTAGGAAAAAAAAAGACCTTTTCTATCCAAAAACATTTCTTTTTCCGAAAAGAAAAAAAAATGGAAAAATAAAATTCTTGAAAATTTATTTCACAAATAAATAACAAACATGAATAGCAGCATTATCAGAACCATGAAATGAATGTGGCAAACGATAATTGTAATTTGCCCACATTCGTAAAAAATTGATGACAAATTTAGTATTCCTGAAAACATGATCAGTTTTCTAATTTAACCATTTCAAATTTACCTTTGAAAATAAACCCAAAAATTAATTTACCTTTTTTTGATAAAAATTTTAAACTTATTAATTCGTGTTAAAGTTATCAATTCTTTTTAAGGTTATCAGTTCTTCAATGAATTCATTTTGTAATAGCTTCGTTATATTCTCCCAAAACCTAATCATATTTTACCGTAATCAAAATTGTCATTATCAAAAAAGAAAAATTATAGTTATAACTTCTTATCACTGATAATTTTAGAATATTTCCTTTTATTAAATAGTACCCCGAATAAAATGGTGAATTTTGAATGTTTATAATTTTATTCAATTCTACAATGTTTTCAAATATATCATTTTCTAAATAATTTAATTAACATTGAAAAGTAAATTATATTAAATTTAAATAATGAAAAAAAAATTTTGTATAATAAATTAAATTTTAATATGAAAATCATAATTTTATATTAAAAATAAGCGAAAATTTCAAATTTACTTAGCTAAATAACTTCCAGCCATCACTTCAAAATTCCAAATACGATTATAAAAGATAATATCTTTGCCATCAATAATATATTCCTCAATTCGTCGTTTTGGATTAATTACACCCATATCAGAATCGACAAATAATACATAATCGAAATTGCCATTGTCTTCTAACAATTGCGCTAATACACAATGTCGTTGAAAGAAAAACTGTAAGCTGGATTAAAAATAATTAATAAAAATAATTAATAGATATTAAAACAAATGAATCAGTTGAAAAAAAAGGATTGATAAAATAATTAACCATAAAATGTTTAAAATTGAAGTTATAAACTAACTAATAATTTCGAATTCAATTTTTGTAATTATGAAAAATATCTATCTACGTGATACTACGAAATGAATATTAATTATAAATTGATTAATTTTTTAAAATTAAAATTTTTTAATTGTGAAACATATCTATGTGGTATGAAATGAATGTAAACATGAAATGAAAATGTAAATTATAATTGGAAAATTATAACTTTCAAAAAGAAAAACTTTACAAAAAAATTATAATTTATAAAAAAAAGGAAAATGATAATTTAAAAAAGAATTTTTTTAAATTATAATTGGTTATTTATTTGGAATTAAATTTTTTGTAATTGTGGAAAGATGTTTATGTGACAGTATCAAATGAATGTAAATTATAATTAAGCATTTCGAATTAAATTTTTACTACAAAAAAAGTAAGTATATATGATATTAGAGATTGGTAATTTGAAATTTATCAAGATTAAACCTCATATTGTGGACAAAGTAATCTTAAGGTATCATTTTGTGACACATCAATTACCACCCATTCATATTTTTGATAAATACAGTAACATTCGAATGTTTCCATTGCTAATTGATATTCATTGATATTACTGAGATCTTTCAGTACTGTTACAACTGCTATTTTAATCTCTGCTTTTTGTGATCCTAAAATAATTTTATCCTTTTTATCTTTCTTTTCATTTTTTCAAGGTCAAATAAAAAAAATCAATTATACTAATTAATTTGCATATTTTAGAGATATTTCTAAAATGTTAATTTTAACAATTCATATTTAAAATAGTAATTATGATTAGGATAAAACATCAAAATAAGCTGAAATTATAACTCACTTGTTGTTATTTGAAATACTGTAAGGTTAAAATTTGCATATCTTAATCTGAACATATTTGAATATAGCAGGATTAGGAATTTTCATACCTTATATGGAATTACGGTAGAATTGAAATATTCTAGCTCTAACATTAATTACTATTCACTAAACTTATCCACTAATATACGGAGGGATATTAAATTGATTGCTAAAATATTTTCCAAATGAAAATTTTTTAGCAATGATTTTCGAATAATGATAATTACTATCAAATTAATTACAATGCAAATTAATCAATTTTTTCTTCTTTTTTGTCTTATTTGCTAAAAGTTTCATTTTTTTTTTTCAATGATATTACAATCATTTCTGTGCTGAAATAAAATTTCGAAAGTTTTTTTTTTTTACCTTTTCGTGTCCATAAAAGAAATATTAGAAAGAGTAGGAATAATAGAATGATATGAATATATCGATGAAAAAGAGTGAATCCACGTAGAAATATCATATGAAACTTTCTTTTTTTTTTTTTTAGCAAGCAATATGATATTGTTTATCTAAAATGGAATTGATAAATAAAGTGATAAAATATCTGGTGATCAAAGATTATAATCACAACAATTAAAAAAAAAATCTAATTATTTATTCATCATCTCATTAGCAGTGATAAAATATCCAACGATCAAAGGTTATAATCATGACGATCAAAAAAAATAATCCAACCATTTAATCATTACTTTTTACATAAATAGTGTTAAATAGTAAATTAAACTGAGAAATTAAAGTTTTGGCCATCAGATACTTTGTTGTTCCATCTAAAATTCACTGATACTATTCTACTATTAAGTTTATATCAAAAAAAAAAAACAAAGACTGCATTCAATGACTAATTCTCAGTGACTTTCGTCCTTCTTACATTATCCTTTTCATTCTTTTATTTTTGTTTTTCATTTCTATTTAAAATTGATTCTTAAAAAGAAAACAAAGAAACGAAAATGTAAAAGAAATAATTTAGAAATTAAAAAAAGAAAAAGTTTATATGTAAGACGAAAAGTTGAAAGAAAGTTGAAGTTGAATTTAACGGCTGCTACACAATTAAAATTATGCAAAAAGACGAAAGGACGAATTATTTCAAACATAAATCCGAAGGTCATTCATTACTATTAAAGCTGTCATATAGCAAATGACAAAAAAAAAGGAAGGAATGAAAAAAAAGCCTGGATGAAAAAAAACACTTCGAAAATGTTTTTTTTTTTTTTGTTAGTTTTCTTCATTTCAAATTGATTTAACTTTTATTTTTTAGATAAAGCTTTTTGAGATTTTAGATTTCAATCAAAATTCATCGTTACATGAGCATTAAAATTTATTTAACACATTTGGTGATTAAAAAAAAAAACCAATTAATTTTATTTTTATCAATCTATCAATGCTATTAAAGATGCTATCACATGTCCGAATATAGTAGCTAATCAATTTACTGCTTTATTTCCTCGATTGCATTGTTTTTATGATCATTTTTAACTCCATCAACCATCTGTTGTGCTTTAATCAATCAAAAAGAAAATTGAAAAAAAAATGAAATTAAGAGAAATCCATTAATATATATATATATATATATATATATAGCAAGTAAATTTAAATAATTAATTAAATTAGAGAGATAGAA